AGATGCATCTGAAGAAGTGAGGTTCTTACCCACGAAAGCTTATGCTCCCAGTACTTCTGTTAGTCTCAAAGGTGCCACAGGACCCTCTGTTGCTTTTAGCCTAAAACAGGAGCATTTTCTAAACAACTAAAATAATGGCTGTCTACTACTCAGTATCTGTCCTTTATCTCTGATTCATTAGCAAGTGTTACCCTTTCACATTAAGGATTATATACTATATCTCTTTCACAATAGTCAAACCATATAGGCAGAACAGACAGCTGCCTAATGCAGCAAAATATTTAGGGAGTGTTGATTGTCTAAATTACATACATTCTCCACTTTGTCTAGGGCAGCAAATATCTGGGGACCTGGTAAAACCACAGGAAGGTTGTTTTAAATAGCTTTGCATGTAAAATATAGTAGAAATCCTACTAAAGCAAACTGTATATCTAATAAGATTTTTATACTAAATACATGACTGAGTCTAACATATTTGCTGAGGATTTATTATGAAAGACATGTATTTATATATTTGGAATGTCTACTATATGTCCATCCAGCAATGTTCTTAGAGGGTTAACATTTAAAAACAATAATTTTATCTTACAAATATAGCAAACTCTTAACTCACCTGTCAGGAGGTGAGTCAGGAACTCATACCCTTCTCAAAAACCTGGGGAAACAGGTAAGTATTGCAGTATGCCCAGAGACCAATGGGGTGGGGGAAATTAATGGGTAAGAGCAGGACCAAAAGGAGACTGCTATAATTAATAGACATTGGGGGATATGAGACCCCATTTCAGTTAACAGGGAGCTGGAGATCAACGAGGGGTTCAGATCATCAAGGTTATACACTACTAGGTTCAGTGGGTATTAATCCTTGGCATGCCCATCCCTGCAACGAGAAGAGCGAGTGTTGCTGTTCGAGCCTGTCGTCAACCTGCACAAAGGGAAGCGATTACGTGCAGCTCGCAAGGTTTATGGGCCAGGAGGCAGATCAAAGCAAGTAACCACCATGACTTGCTCTCCGCCACATCCTGTTCTTCACATCACTGAGTCATCGCTATTGAGCTGCTTGCCTCCCCAGCAGCCCCTAGAGCTCAAATTAGCAGCCTGCAGGCTTTGAGCGGCAGCTGCAGCCCTCCCATTGCTCTGCCCAGTACCAGCGTCAGGCGCTTGGCTGTCTTGCCTCCCTTCCTCCCGCAGGCAGGCACAGGCTGCCATTCATTGCAGAGAGGCGGTACTGGGGGAGAGAGTGACAGGGGCAGTCCCTCCCCTGTGCACCAGGGAGAGAAGGAAGGGGGAAGAGAAGAGAGAGGAGGAGAGAAACAGGAAAGGCGGGGTAAGGGGGTGGAGGAGAGAGGGGAAAGGCAGCAGCACGACAGACACCCTGCAGCTGGAAGCAGCAGCCTGCGGCAGCTGGAACCTCCCCGCTCGCCTCCCCCCAGCTACAGCAGCGGCAGGGGAGAAGCCAGAGAAGTTTCCGAGCAAATCTGATTGGTTCGGGGGGAGCTGGACCACGGCCCCCCACTTGTGCTCCCTGGCAGTGCGATTGACCGGGAGCCCGGGGAGCTGCCTGCCGCGTGGGGTGCGCAGGAGAGGAGGTGGCAGGAGGAGCAGCGATGAAGCCCTGCGAAGAGGAGGGGCTGGGGGCTGCGGCCGGAGGGGACCCCTGGAAGGAGTGTATGGAGGCGGCGGTGCAGCTGGCGCGGCGGGCTGGGCAGGTTAGCAGCAGCAAGAGCCCACACAGATACTTTTGTACTTGCCTCGGTCTTCTCCCTTTCCCCGGTCACAGCTTGGGGAGAGCATGTGTAGGAGCAAGCGAGAGCCATTCCTTTCCTCCCCCTCCGGCTGGCCCCTGCCCCTGACGGGTCAGTCACTTCCCCCTTCCAGGGAATGGAGGGTCCGCACTTGCAAGATCATCTGCTCAGTCACGACGTGTGCTGCAGTCCGTAGAGAGTTTTCAGCGGCTCGCTCCCTACTACGATCCCCCAAATAAATGCCCCTTTCCGGCATCTTGCTTGCAAGGGTTAATAATGCTGCTGGAGTGGTCGGGACAGTTCCCTGCTGTGTGCTGCAGGCGACACTCCTGTGCACTCAGCACTCTAACCTGTTGGTGTCCGCGGTGTTAACGAGGGCGGGCGGAGGAACAGGGCGGGGGGGGGGGGGAAGAGTTGCAGGAAAAATCGGGGAGGGGATTAGTGTAAGAGGAGGTAAGAGAGCCAACTGGGTCAGGTCAAATGCAGTGACAAAGCTGCCTTACATTGATCCAGATCACAAACGTCCCTAACTTATTAATGACATACTGTATTGTATATATTTTAAACACCTGCAGGAACGTTTAAAATAATTACACTAAGTAGCTGGAAAAGCTTTTTGTAAAGCATATTGGCTCTAGATGTTTTTGTTGAGGTAGAGACCTGCCATTGCATGCTGCACATAGGCAGAGTTTTCAGCATCGTGTTGAATATCAATGAGAGATTTTGCTTTCATATAAACTGAGCATAGGTGATATTTTTAGCAAACATGTAGCAATGCGGCCTTTAGTCTATCATTTTGTTTGGTTTTTGCAGGCTTTAGCAGCCTGAACTGCAAATATTCAAGCCACCAATAATGATCTTTTAGATGAATGGCATCATCATACAGTCTTCTTGAGGAAAAATGAGAATGCAGTAATGATATACCATCTTAGTAGTGTATTTAAGGGAAATTCCACCATGGGAGTGTTTTTGCACATTTCAAAATAATTTCAGAATGTATCTAAAATAATGGGCTATGGGTAAGGGGTGGTTTGGTTTGTTTTAATTCTCTAATTAACAGTATGAAGGAAAAGGCTCCCATACACCCTCCAGAAGCAGACATATTTTGTGACTGGAAGCATTCTTTATATTTAAAAATAAGATTAGAATGATTTGCCAAAGCAAACATGTTTTAATGTATTTTCTTTCTTAGTAAGAAAAAAGCATCTTCACATGTATTACTGTAATATTATTAGTATATACAGTGATAACAATGCTGGATTATCACATGTATTACTGTAATAATACATGTATTACTGTAATATTATTAGTATATACAGTAATAACAATGCTGGATTATGGGGAATTGAGGATACTTCATATCATGATGCATATATCCAAAATATGTTATATTTCCATTTTATAACAGGTAGTTATAAAGTGAGAAAGTGAGTGTGTCAAAGATATTTAGCTGAATGACTGGTTTCTTGCCTGCTATTATCTTCTTGCTTTGCCAGTCTTCTCACCAGGGGGCAGATAAAATAAAAGTCACTGCAGATTTACAGTGGTGTAAATAAAGAATTGTCAACATTTAAAAGTTTTGCCAGCATAGCTGTGCCGGTTAGAAGTATGGAAAAAAATCACACCCCTAACCAAAACAGCTATGCCAGAAAAAGCTATAATGTAGATGTAATTGTACCAGCCAAAAAGTCCTTTTGCTATTATAACTTACTCTGCACGGGAAAGTGATTTAGGATATCATAACAAAAGAACTCTTTTGCAAGTATCACCATCTCCATGGGGGAGAGAGGATATAGCAACAAATCTTTTTTAGTGGCCTTAGGTCAATATCTGTCTCAATCTGAGAGTTAGGGTATCTCTACACTGGATAGTAAACCCAGGTCTGTGGGATCCACACTTGCAGACCTATTCTTTCTAAGCTCATGCTTGAGCATCCACACTCCATTGCTGTTTGAATCTCATGTACACGCCAGCAGGTACACTCTCAGTATGAAGACCCAGATCAGACCTTGCTGTTTCTTGGGCATAACTCAGGGTTCTTAGCACCTTTGGTAGCCATCGCCGCTTTAGGGCTTGATTCATAGTGTATTGCAGGAATCGGCAACCTTTGGCCCGCAGCCTGCCAGGGTAAGCACCCTGGCGGGCCGGGCCGGTTTGTTTACCTGCCGCGTCCGCAGGTTCGGCCGATCGCGGCTCCCACTGCCCACAGTTTGCCGTCCCAGGCCAATGGGGGCTGCGGGAAGCGGCACGGGCCGAGGGATGTGCTGGCCGCTGCTTCCCGCCCTGGCGGGCTGCATGCCAAAGGTTGCTGATCCCTGGTGTATTGTGAGAGAACATGTCTGTTCATCCCTTCATCCCTTGGGACTTGACCAGAAGTGGTTTGAGCCAATGCATCCAGCAGAGCCATTTGGGTCCACCTGCTCCTAGCAGCCAGAGTTGTCAACATGGATCACCGCCCAGTGGAAGAACTTCTCCAGGTCATGCTTTCACTCCTACTTCGGGAGTCAGCCAAAGCAACTGTGAGAAGTTGGTGGACATTTTGGAAATGATATTTACCCTACCAAAGGCATCTCTTGGAGGGGAGTACTGGAATCCAGATTATGGATTTCTGGTAGAAGTTAATCAGAACTACATCTTCTGGGGCTTCCTGTTTGGTGGTTTTGTTTGTTTGTTTGTTTTTGTTTTTTTTGGTAGGGGGGGTTGTTTGTTTGTTTTGGTAAAATCCTTAAGAATGAGAATTGAAAGAGGAAATTCATCAGTCTCCATGGAATTGTTTTTTAAAAGAACATGGTATTCTTCTTCTCAAAGATGTTCATCCATGTTTAGCAGAGGAGCCCACAAACATATCCACCAATGGGATTTTTTTAATACTTTTGGAATAGTGTCTCCAAAAGTCAGAAGGCTGATAAAGAAATAGTTACATGAATATGTGTCATAGTGATGCTGTCTGATCTGGGAATGTACCTGCTCCAAGTCGTGGATCTCATGCTTGAACCCATTGCTTAGCTCTGCTTAACATATATTATATCTATATTACATATGTGGGTCTGTGCCATGCAGTTTGGATCCAGTTACTTTGGAGGGGCATGGGAGCATGGATTCAGTATTTTAATCTGGGCCATTTTCTGTGCATAACTGGCCTGTATTGAAATCCCTCCCCATTCACTATACCTGTGGATTTACCATGGACTTTCTCACATCTTTCTTCTGTTGAGTACTCTTTTACCAAATCCTGCTTACTTTATTCATGTAAGTAAACCTACTAACTTTGGGGTGACTTTTTGCATAAGTTAAGTAAGTGGGATTAGGACCTGTTGTGGAGTTGTAGCTGCACTGTAGCATTCCTTGCTGGCCAAGCATGGCAGAGCAGGAAGTCCCCTGCCTCAGTTTCCCTCCCCAGGGCAGATTTTCTTGGCTTGCCAGACACCGGTTTGTTCTGGAGAGGTGGCTTAGCCCTCCAACCAAATAACAAACAAAACTTATCCCCTTCCAGGGTAAGGAAAGTCCAACTGAAAAAGTCCCAACAAACAAAAAGGTTCTGCCCTTCAAGGGCTTCTCTTTAGCCCACTCTCTGGGCCCTGTTCCCAACCCTTTTGTGGGCTAGCTGTGCGAGTCTTTCTGGCTCCAGGATCGAGCATTCAGACCCCAGTCTGATTCCCCCGGAGTACTATTCTCAGACCCTCCTGGGCTCTGTTCCTTGTGTCCTTCCCTGCTCTGGTATAGAGCACTGGGGCCCCTAGAGTATTTGGCTTCCTGCAGACTAAATTTTAGGGCCTTCCACAAGAACCTTCCCACTCATAGTGGTTCCAACTCCCAGAGAGATATGGATCTCTCTGAGTCCTTTCATAAGGCCCAGATGTCCATTAAACTGTCACATGGGCACGGCCCTCCTTAGTCCCACCCCCACAGGCTCGGATTTAATAATGACACAGATGTGGCTGGCCTCATCTCATATGTTTGCTATTCCAACAGTACTGGACAATATGGATCTGATCTATTTTCATTTACGCTGTGTAAAGTGGGAGAAACGTCCGTGACGTCAATAGAGTTACACCAGTGTAAACCCAGGGGTATGTTGACACTAGAAATGCCACAGTGGCACAGCTGCATTGCTGCAGCTGCGCCACAGTAGTGTGGACACTTACTATAGCAATGGATGGGTTCTTCTGTCACTGTAGATAATCCACCTCTCCAAGTGGTTACTAGCTTAACCTAGCAGTGTCTACACTGGGGCTTAGGTTGGCTTAATTACATTGCACAGACAGTGAAAGTTTTCACAACCCTGAGCAATGTAGTTAAGCTGACCTAAGTTTGTAGTGTAGACCAGCCCCAGATGTGAGGTCCTGAGAGAAAAATTAGGCAATGTATATGTCTAGTATGTTAATGTTTCCATATGTTTTTAAACTATACAAGGAGAAAGCTGCCAGACAGAATTAGGTGTGAAATCCTGGCCCTAGTGATGTCAATGGCAAAACCCCCAGTGACTTCAGTCGGGCCAGGATTTCACCTTATCTGTTTTGTCTTTCTGTGACATTTTTATGATATCTTGTAGTGAAACATAGACAAGCTGATTTTAAAGAATAATTTTATTTTGGGGAATGACACTTGTCCAAGCATTCAGTATTTAGGGTTTGATTGTGCCATTAAGGCACAGCCCATTTTGAGGGGCATTCCAGAGCCATGAAACTCAGGTGTGCCAGGCAAGTGCATACCGTGTACCATCTCTTAGGAGGTTATAGCATGATCCCCCCTCCACAGCCTACTGCTCTACTGTGTGGTATGGCGGGAGATGGAGCCATGGCCCTGCCGCCTCTCCATTCCCTTTAGGGTAGCTTGAACTCCCAGAGATGCTAGATGGGAATAGTCTCTGTCATCCCCTGCACTAACACCATGATTATGTCAGACTCTTAAGCATGGGCACCTTGCATCTTCACTTCTCTCTGCCCTTTGTGCAATCATACAAGGGCCAGGCGCAATCTACCTCTTAGTGGTGCAATGAAGTGTTGATACATACTTCTCGAGATTACTGGGCTGTTAGATCAGCAACTAGGTATTCTCTGTCCTTCCCCATAAACAGTTACAATATGGACAAACTGTAATCTAATGAAGATGATTAGTGTAATACTTGTATTACATATAACATATAATTGCTCAGCTTGGTTGCCAGTTTCATTACACAATACTGAGGGGGGGATGAGCTATTTTTATTTCATTTACACATTTTGTGGTCCCTGAATAGATTTCACTTAACTGTCATAGCTCTTATCATCTTGAAGGACTTTTACGTGACTCCACACCTAATTTGGAAGACTAGCCAAATGCATTAGGTGATTATATTCGGCCATTTAAAATGTATTTATATCAAGTGTTCTGTAAAGAGTCAAACCTAATGGAATTCTGTTGTACATACTCTGTATTTTTTTTCACCATTTTGGCCAGATTCTAATACTTTTACCCAGGTTTGAAGTACTTTACTCCACAAGTAGTCCCACTGACTTCAGTGGACTAGTGCAAGGTATTATTCAGCATAAAGAATTTGGCCCAATACGAGATACTTGATAAATTTAATTTTATGAAGAACAAATGCTGTTCTGTTTATAACGCAAAAAATGTAAGCTTGGTGAGCTCACATATGTCTACACTTATTGTGGATTGAGGCTGCGGCGATCGATCCACCGGGAGTCGATTTAGCAGATCTAGTGAAAACCTGCCAAATTGACCGCAGATCACTCTCCCATCAACTCCGGTACTCCACCGGAACGAGAAGCATAACATAAGATGACGCGAGAGTTTATCCTGTTGACGCAGCACGGTGTAGACACCGCAATAAGTCGACCTATGCTACATTGACTCCCGCTACGTTATTCATGTAGCTGGAGTTGCGTAACTTAGGTTGACTTAACCCCGTAGTGTAGACCTACCCCTAGTTTCTGACTTGGATTTCAGGTGCAAGTGGGTGAGATGGAGTAAGAACCCCTCTCCTTAGCAATTTATGCAGCTTACACAGACCTTGGATCTGTTGTCCATATAAGAGGAACAGGGGGATAGGCAGAAAACTGGCGGAACCTAGGCCACACCCCCATACACACACACCCAACCCCTGGCTAGAGTCATTTGAGCCCGTACAGATGGGGTAGTAATTTACTGTTGGCACATCCCAGGAGCAAGGAGAAATCAGGAAAGGAACTGAGACTCAGAGGTGTGTCTCTAGGTCAGAACGCCTCCTGGTGCAGACCAGTTTATGTACTTACTTCTCCTTGCTCAATCTAGTCCTGTGTTAAGAAAAATAAATAAATATTTAATAACTTCATACAAATGAGAACTCTTAATTCACTTGACTGCCTTATGACTTTTTGGGGACACCATGAGAGTAGTCATTTAGGCCCTAATCCTAAAAATACTTACTCATAATGGTAACTTTACACATGTGAGTGAGCCCATTGAATTTGGAATCGTTCACATGTGCACAGTTACTCACATGTAAAGTTCTTAAAAGGTTGGGGCCTTGATATCGTGCACACACAAGGCACTAAGTTAGCTAAAGAGGTTCAGTACCACCAGGAAAACAGGGCAGTACGTAAGGAAATAAAGGAGTTTTCTGCAGTAAACATTTTGCCATGTAATAATACAAAAACTTTTGTGTATCATCTTCAAAGGTAAAAATATTAATTAATCTTTAAACTCCTTTGTGAGATAGGGAAATAAGTACACCTCTACCCCGATATAATGCTGTCCTTGGGAGCCAAAAAATCTTACTGCGTTATAGGTGAAACCGTGTTATATCGAACTTGCTTTGATCCGCCAGAGTGCGCAGCCCCGCCCCCCCGGAGCACTGCTTTACTGCGTTGTATCTGAATTTGTGTTATATCGGGTCACGTTATATCGGGGTAGAGGTGTATAACTTTTATTTTACAGCTGATGAAACTGAGACAGAGAGGTAATGGGACTTTCCTAGGGCCCCACTGCAAGGCATGGTCCAGATTATGTAAGGACAGTCACTATACCAGTTAAGAGAGTGAAACCCTTCAAATGTAATATTTTTGCCCATGATAAACAAGTGGTAGAAATGTAATAGAAATTTGGAATTTCCTGGTTTCCAGTCCCATACACAGTACTGTAGAACAAACTGCCATTTGAACATAAATGGCTTTTCTTTAGGTAGGTTTAAAAATACTTTAGTGCCAGAGTTTTGACTGAAGGATTTAAAAAAATATATGCCTCAGGAGGAGGTTGTGTTTGGAATATTGGTTTGATGTTCCTTTTTATTTTGTATAGTTATGTACAAATCCAGCAATTACATTAATTTGTCTTTTCTATCACTGACTGTTTTGATGCCCTTTCTTAGGTATTTCCTAATTGTCTTTGGTTAAAAAAATAAGTTAGTTGTTCCTCCAAGAGAAACATTGCCATCATGCCTCGTTTCATAATGTCTTGCCTTATGAAGTAAAAAACCGAAAGAGGTGAAAATAGGAAGAAGTTTGTCGTTCATCATTTTCCCATTTGTGAATTTGCATCAGATTTACTTTAGTTTAGTTTGGCTTTCAAGTTTTTTAAAAACATAACACCAAGATTTAAAAACAAACAAACCCAGAGCCCAGAGTTAGACTCCTAAGTCCATCTTTACGCACTTAAATAAATGGCCAGTTTTTTAAAGGTGTTGAGCACCCAGCAACTACCACCAATTTCGCAGGGTGCTGAGCATTTTTTAAAATCTGGCCACCTATGTGGACTTAGGACCTTAACACTAGACACCCATGTTTGAAAATCTTGGCCCAAATCTGATATAAAAGGCTTCTTTTCAGAGCCAAACTAGTATGGTTTACATTTTTTGTCACTTTTTAAAATGTAAGAGGTGGGAGTTTTGTCCCCGTAGTTTATTTTTTTTAATATTGTATTTCCGATGGAAGGGGAAAGAAAACTCCTAAGCCCTGAGGATCCTCCTTTTTCCCCTGGGTCTCTCCCCTAATATTTCCAATCCTTAATGTGTCCATCTGCTGCTATCCTTCTTACTATACTTGTGGCTGCATTTCCTTCCAGAGCTTGTCAATGACTTTCCTAAACTAGTTAGAGGGGTTGTTATAGAGAGAGATGCAAGGTGCGTCCTACCCTCATTGCCTCCGTAGTATTCTCTGCCCCTGAACAAACAAGATGGATTTTGAGTCCCAGACCTGGATCCCTTCTCTTGCATGGTAGCATACTGGTGTGTCAATAGATTTTAGGATCCGCAGAGAACTTCATATGTAATATATTTTGTTAGTGTCTAGGGAAGGAATGTCAGAAATAAATCTGATGTGTGTACTCCTCTTTCAGATTATTAAGAAAGCTCTTACAGAGGAAAAACAAGTGTCTACAAAAACATCTGCAGCAGATCTTGTGACAGAAACTGATAATTTTGTGGAAAATGTGATTATTTCTGCTCTGAAAGAGAAGTTTCCTTCCCACAGGTAAGTATCTCTAGAGAGAGAACTGCCCAAGACCCTGTCCCCACCACAGGCCATGTATGTGACCATCATTAAAAGGGAATTTATAAAATTCAGTCCCTAGATGTCAGATGACCATCTGTACATATTTATTTGCCTCCTAATAACTGAATTCAGTTTTAATACCATTTAGATATCACTCTATTCTGGTCTCCATTGTTAAGAATTAATATATGTCTTGAATTTAAGCAGATTAGAAAAAAATTTAAGCTTCCTTTCTTTAAAAATTTCTGTTCCAGATTCACTTTCATTTGACAAAAGTTGACAATTACTTTGAGAAGGTTCACTGTATTTTTCATTATTGGCCACACAGTATTATTGCTCTGAATTAACTTGAGTCATCATCTGAGGTTTTTAATATTTTACAACCTTTTTGGATTTAATTAAATAGTAATATAACACTCTTGTCCCCAGTAAGGGTCTCTAAATTAAACTATCACTAAGAAAGCTTAATTTGTTCACAACTCTGTATCTTTTTTTCTGCTGTATATAATGCCAAGAATATTTCATCAAATGGACATTAGAATCAAGCTGCATTCAGTTACCACTAAGGCCCCAGTTCTGCAAACATTCATGTGAATAATTTTGTTTTACTCACGTGTATGTGTGTGCGCGCAGGATCTGGACTGAGTATAGCATTAATTCACATTTAGCTCTCCTAGCCTATAGAAAAATAAATGTTGTACAAATTACTGCACAGGATTTAACGGTAGGTTGTAAACATGAATTCAGATATGTGATTCCCCTTGAGCTATTCGGGGCCAGCTGAGAGTAACCCCCTATAAACAGAAGCCATAAAATGATACATTTTAGCATATTCACATTGGAAATAGGCTTTATAAAACATGTCTTAAGATTGGCTTGATGCACACAGAATATATACTTTATAACTGATTTCCACATTTGACTTTAACCTATGAAGGTAAAATTCAGCCCTCTGAAGAGAGCCTGTGTGCCACTTAAATCTACATAAACCCTCTATGTGTACTTTAAGTGGGTTTTAAGTGGTACATAGTGTGACGGGATCCCCCCGGGGTACAGCCTGGGACCATGGGACCACTGTGCCCCCTTAACTCTCTCCAGCCTGGGTTGTCTCTCACAATGCCTTGCTAGTGACCAGCAGCAAGCCCCTCCAGGCGCTGTGATCACTCAACACAACAGCATGTGGAGCCCCACACCCATCTAGATTGCATGACTGCTCCCAGAAGCACTCATGAATCACACAGACACCAGCTCAATCCCCCCACCACCACCACTCCCCCAGCTCCCAGTACTGTACCTCAGGAATATACCATCTAATTTATTAATTGGTTCACCACTTCAACAATGGAAAGTGGACATACATCAGCCTTTGTCAAGCCTGAGCAGATTTTCCCCCACACTTCGACCAACTCACTGGTAAAGATAAACAGTTAAACAAATGTATTGACTATAAAATATAGATTTTTAAGTGATATTAAGTGATAGGAAAAAAGTCAGAGTTAGTTACCAAAATAAAATAAAATATAAGCACACAGTCTAAACTCTCAACCCTATTAGACTGGGCAATATCTCGATTAAGCAGTTTTTCTCACCCCACTGGATATTGCAGTCCTTAATATACAGGTTTGTTCCTTAAACTTGGGCCAGTCTCCTCTGTTGGAGTCTTGTCTTCTTCTCAGTGTCTTAGCCGCTTGCAGCATAGGTGGGGGTAGGAGAAAAGGCCCAGTATGTGTCCACTCTGTCTGTTTTATACCCTCACTCCAGCTGGTTGGAAAACACAAGTTCAGGTGTGTCTGGGGGCATTGCTTAGTCTCCCAGTAAGGTTGAGTAATTCCCCTGGTGTGGCCTCATGCAGGTGAGTCATTGCATTGTAGCTCCCTTGCTGGACAATGGCTGTTGATGGATTGGGCGTTGGTTACTTTACTTGCTCTTGCCTCTGGGGAGCTAATATCTGGTTACCAACCCAGGCATTGGTTACTTTCCTTGCTGTTGCCTCTGGGGAGCTAATATCTGGCTGATTCCCCAACTTACAGTATGTTTTAGTGACAACCATACAACACAATTCTCATAACTTCACATGCATTAATGATACATGTATGGATAGAGAATTTACTTTCAGCAGATCGTAACCTTTCCCCTGATGCCTTACAAGGCATGCTTTATATGTAATATCACAATTATATACAGATGAGGAATATGGGGGGTTATAGGGTACTCCCCCAAGGCATAGAACGTCACACATAGGCTTTGCACTACATAGGGATGACTTTGTGTCAGATTCCAAAGACTTCCGCTAAAATGGAACATATTTGAAAAACCTGACCCCATTGGTCATGTTGGTGTAAAGAGCTTACTTAATGCAAAAATTACTGAAAAAATTATACATTAAGTACATCTTTCTATCTATCTGTTATGTGATCCAAAACTGTGGCAGTACTACACAATTGAAGTGTGTAATATTTGGTTGCAATTCTTAGGCAGTGCTGAGATTTACAAATATATTATTTGAGTAATATTCCATCTAAAGTACTGCTTGCTGTGCTATTGTCTGTTCTGTAATATGTGAGTTTTCCTTAATGATCTGCCAGAGGAAGTGTAGCATACAAGGTTCATGTAACATGAGCATAAAGTGTTAGAAGCATTCATGCTATTTAGAATAGGAATAGCAGGTGCAAGGTCAACATAGACCCAGAAATGGAAGTCTCCAACATGATGAGAGATTATTAACCCTTTACAGTCAACTTCCATTTTGAATTTGCCCATGCATTTTTCCTAGCTTCTGATTTCATAAGGTAACTAAGTGAACAAAGCTTTCTTTAAGACAGTTCAGTTTCTGTTTGTTATGTTTTGGCTAGGGTTCGTATTGACCCAAATGCATATTTCAGTTTACAGAATATAGTCTTCTGTCTGAATAAAGGTCCATCTTGCAACATACGAGATACAGTAGATAGGTACAAAGGTAAACAGCAAAGAAAAAAATTAAAATTGACTTCAGTACAGGTTTATGTGCTCTGTCTCTCCACTAATCCGGCTCTCAGGGACATCCAACTAAGATTTTTAGATTTTTTTTATTCCCCTTTTCTTAAATTATTTTGGTTCAGGTACTTCTTAGTTTAAAAAGGAAATTCTGGTAGTGACAAACTTTACCAGAGTCATTACTGCAATCAGAGATATTTGTGATGTGGCAGAATTATGCATTCAGTGCATCAGCTAATACAAAGAAGATTTCACAGAGGTAATGGGAAAAATAGTGGAAAAGTTTGTTAAAAATATATTTCTACGCTGGATGTCCAACTCCTACTTGGTTAATGGTGAGAGTCAGCCCATTAATCTGTGCCTCAATTTTCATTTTTGCTTTACTGATTCTTTAAAAATAAAGAATTTCAGTATTTTATTTCAGTACTTTCATGGATTTTAATGAGTATTTTCTAGATGACTGATTTTTTTAACTTTCTTTTTCTAGTATCAGAGGGGTAGCCGTGTTAGTCTGGATCTGTAAAAAGCAACAGAGAGTCCTGTGGCACCTTTAAGACTAACAGATGTATTGTTAGTACAATACATCTGTTAGTACAATACAACTGTTAGTCTTAAAGGTGCCACAGGACTCTCTGTTTCTTTTCTAATGTATCTTTACATAGTAACATGGTTTGGACTCTTCACAGAATGAAGCACTCATCATGTAGTTCTCCATTAATGACATTATTCTTACCACAGAGCAGTATCTTTCAATGCTATGGGCTTGTCTACACTACCCACTGGATCGGCGGGCAACTATCGATCCAGCAGGGGTCAATTTATCGCGTCTAGTATAGACACGATAAATCGACCGCTGAGGGCTCTCCCGTCGACTCCGGTACTCCACCAGAACGAGAAGCGTAAGCAGAGTTGATGGGAGAGTGTCAGCTATCAATTTACTGCAGTGAAGACACCACGGTAAGTAGATCTAAGTACGTCAACTTCAGCTACGCTATTCACGTAACTGAAGTTGCGTATCTTAGATAAACCCCGCATGGTAGTGTAGACAAGCCCTATGTTATGCACTATGGGCTTGATCCTGCTCCCATGGAAGTTAATGGGATTGTTACCATTTACTTCCCTGGGTACAGGATCATACTATATGAGTCTGACCTTGCACCAGTGATGTCAACAACTGAACTTTGCCATTGACTCAGATGGGCATGAGATCTGGCTCTGTTCCTGTACATTTATTTTTACTGTGTAAAGTCCTTTTAAAATCAATAGTACCAATAAACTTTTAGTTACAAAGGAACTTTCCTACCTTACAAAAGTTTTGACAGTAAATACTACATATAACTGGTCTTATACAGCAAATATGTTTCTTTGCCTTCCTTTTCTCCCTCACCATGCTCTTTTCTCCCTATGTCCCTCCCTGTCAAAGCCCGGAGGGTCCTTTCTCTCCCTGCCATCACTCACTTCATTGCTTCAGCCCTCTTTCTAGCCCGCCCACAAGGGCCTGAATTGTAGCCACCATCTTCCCAGCCAAAGAAGACTGGAAGGGACCCACGTCAGAGACAGTCATTTGTCTCTTGAGTACCATGAATCTGTTCCCTCCCTTTCTCTCCACAAGGCAGAGTGCCTCTGCCATCACACCATTCCAATCCCCAGGGAGCCCAACGGGCAAGAGTTGAACATGCCCTGTCCCTGCAGCTCCTCCCAGGCGGCTGTACCACCTCCAGCCTTGCCCCCATCCCTTCCACGCAGCTGTCTGCGTGACTGCTTCTCCTGTCTGGGGTCTGTACAGCCATGCCAGAGGACAGGATTGGGGGTGGTACAGCTGCGCCAGAAGAGCTGCCGGTGCAGGACGCTGGCTCCTGGGAGCAGCAGCCCCATGATCTGTTCCTTTCGCCACTGTGGTTCCCGGGAGAGCCCTACAGTTCTACGGATACCGATTTATATCTGCGGATATCTGCATCCACATATATAAATGTATATCCGTGCAGAGCTCTACAAATATCTAGATGCTTTGATGTACCCCCTGGAAGATCTTTGCGTACCCCAGGGATATGCGTACCCCCTGGTTGAGAACCGCTGATCTAGGGAATGGAAAAGATAACTAAGAAGGCAGGACAGATGCCAGAACAAGATGTACAATTCCTAGGAAAAGGAAAACAGAAAACCTATTGAAATAAATTATAACAGGACAGAAAATCAGAAGCTCAACATGGAATTCAATGTGCTTCTGTAAATTGTGTATTTTTTTTTTTAATTCTCTTGAATTACTCTGGGTCTTGCGAAGAGGAAAGTTCAGCTTTGTGAACTTTTTACTTCCCGATCTACTCTGCTATTAAAAATTGTGGTGGGAGTGGGGTTGTAGGTTTTCTAAGGCTGTATTATTTCCTGGTGAATTCACCTGCAAGGAATGGAGGTTCCTTCTAGAAGTGGGCCTGAGCTGCCAAATTGCAATTCAGATCTAAACTTCTGCCAAAATTGGGGTTTCATTTCAGATCCATCTCTACATGCATTACAGGATTTTGAAGTATGTATCATTAACATATAGGGAGGGGGAACTAGAATGGGATTTTTTTTTAATATACTGTATAAAACAATTTTCTAGCTATCTTTTCAGAACTTCTTTACAAAGTTTCTGTGAGTTGGTGGGTGGTGATGGTGGGCTTTTTGTGCGGGTTTTTTGTTTTGTTTTGTTTTTGGTAACTAAACTTTAAAAATACATAAATGTAACAATAGTCCCCAAAAGCCAAGAAAGTGGAGTTGAGTTTTCTGAGCATACTTTACTCCATGTCAAATATAGGTTTATTGGAGAAGAGTCCACTGCTGCTGGTTCAAAATGTGTCCTCACTGACAATCCTACCTGGATTATTGATCCCATTGATGGAACCTGCAATTTTGTGCACAGGTAAATTCAGTAACATGGAGAATTGTTAAAATATAGTAACTCTTCAGTTACTCATCAATCCTTCTCTCCCCCCATTACCAAAATATATTTCACTGTGTTAAGTTTGCTCAATTTACACTTACCTACAGCATTATATTTACAAACTGAGGGGTTTTGCCTGAACAAGACCTGCAGGATCCATTCCAGTATCTTTTTATATCTGATATAGTATTTGATACTCCTGGGGGAATTCTGCGCCACTGCGCACATGCAGAATTTATATCGCCTGCAGATTTCTTTCCTTCCCCGCAGAAAAATGACTTTCTGATGGGAAGCAAAGGGAAGCCACAAGTGGTCATGCAACCCTTCCCAGCAGTATGTTTTGGGTGCCCAGAGCAGACGGCAGAGAGGTAAATCACTGTGAGGCAAGGGGCGGGACTAGGAAAGACCCAGCTGGTGGCTTCTACCCTGCACCGGGCTCAGCTGCTAGTCCTGGCTGGGCTGGGGAGGATAAGACTTCCTCTTTCCCTGCATGGCATCCAGGGCCGGGTCACACCCACCCCCAGATTTCTCCCCCGGCTGCAGGAAGCTCTGCAAACTGCCCCCCCCCCACCGCGCTTCCTGCACCCATCACTCCTCAGCTTCAGGGGGAGGGATCCCTGTACAGGGAGCTGCTCCCCCATCTGCCGAATCCCCATGCATTCAGACCCCCTCATACTCAGACCCTCCCGCCAAACCTCACCCCCCCACACTCAGAACCCCCACACACACTGAGCTCCACTCCCCCTGCACCTGGACCACCCTGACGAGCCATCCGCACCCACATCCCCACCCCACCAAGCCCCAACCATCTGTACCTGGGCCCCCCTGCAGCGTCCTATTACCGTAGCACCTTGAACCCCCCAACAAGCCCCTGTGCATCCAGATCCCCCCCCGCACCTGGATCCCACTCTGAGCTGCCTGCACCAAGATTGCCCGACACAGATTACCCCTCTCAACCTACTCCTAAGCCCCCCCATGCTAAGCCCCTCCACACTTGGATACTGCCTTGCTGAGCCCGCCTGCCCACACCTGGTGCACCTACAAAACTACAACTTTAACTCAAAATTTAAATATTTGATTTTTTTTAAAAACGATGACTGTTTACTTCACCTGGACAGTCCCACTAAATTTAAAATTATTCCGTATGGTTGGTCTAATAGGCCAAGATTTTTAAAATGATGGGCCTAATTCTGCCTTGGTGCATTGACTTCAGTGGAATAATATGTGCTTACACTGTGCCTAAGTGGGGCCAGCTTCTGGGGGTTGATGTTTCAGGTAATACAGTGAAACTCTGCCTTCCAGTAATACTTTCTGCTGTTATTCTACAAGAAATTATTAATTTGTCAGTTCATACTTAAATTTTGGGACAATTAATACCTATGTCAAAAGGAGCAAGTGAAATATGTAGTTATTACTTTGGCAAAACAGAAGGTAGTATAACAGGTTTCATTTATTGTTGACCTCAGGTATAAAGTTTCTCCCTAATTAATTACTGTCTGCAAAGTGCTCTGAGATCATTGGATGAAACATACTCTAAGTATAAATTATTTATTACAATATTATTTTAAGATTAGGTTATTTAGTTACGCTAAGGGGGAAAATCATTAAAATTTCAAATATATGTTTAATATACACAGCATATTTATGTTTTCATACATTTATTTTTTAACTTTTTGAAATGTTAGTTTCAATAAAAAAAAAAAGAATTGACAAAGTACAAGGGACAGTCTTGGGTGGAAACAGAGGGAAGGTATAATGTAGATGAAGTTTTTAATTGAGTAAAATTACAGCGCTCTCTGTGGGTTCAGTTGCTGCTGGGAGTTGCGGAATTTGCATGTTTAGAGAGATTATTCATGAATAGTACTTTCTTTCTTATTTGTCACAGGTTTCCAACAGTGGCAGTTAGCATTGGATTTGCTGTTAACCAAGAGGTATAAAATATGTTCTGTGAGTTGGTAACCTGAGATCCAGGTATAAATCTCAGAGCCATGTGGGAACTAAAAAATTAATACAAAGGCTCTTTCCATGCTATTGAAATTTGTTTGGTCACACTACAACAATATAATACCCTAATCCTGCAAACCGTTACTCCTGCGGGTAGTCCCATGTTAATTGATTTATATATTATTAAAAGGGGACTACTGATGCAAGAGTTCATAAAATCAGGCATTAATAAGTTATGTTTAAATTGTGACTAAGCATCTCTATATTTATCTTCTACTGTTCTCTTGTTATTATGCTGATTCCTATTGCTTTAAAGCTGTTAGCAATCTCCATGACTCTGACAGTTTTTTCGATGTACAGTATATAGTATATAGTAGGATTACTTTTTGTGATACGTGCAAAGTTATGGTTTGGATTCCCTTGTGTGCTTTTGAGGTGCAGTAAATTTAATATTATTCCATGTACCTTCATAAGAGCCTGTCCATAGAAAAACAAAGAACCTGGCCTTGGGAATACTGTTCTTTTTAAATTTCCTAGTTCTCACAATTCATTTTGGAGGGGTTTGTACAGCTACTATAGTTGTTCAGTTTGATTTATAAAATAAAAGTAGCTATTTTTAAGTAGTTATTCACACCATTGTAAAATGTGCTTCTTGGGCCTTTGCATTTACATGCATCGACATGCCGTTAGCTCCCATTGAAGCCAACAGGAATTTTATGTGTGCAAGGAATGCAGCATCAGGCAAATTCAGCGATGGCCTAATTTTCAGATGTGATGAGGACTAGCAACTCCCTTTGGTTTGGACAGTATAGTGCTATATGTGTATCTAGATGGACTGCAGCTTGCCTTTAAAAATATAGAAACCATAAAGACGCACTTTAGAGCCATTCCAAAGATTATTCCTTCCCAAATGTTTTCAAATATTGCATATAATCACAAAACAGCTTTCTTTAGTGTTTGTTTATTTTCTATAGCACCCATCAGGCTTTAGATGCTGCTAAAACAAAAATAAACAATAATATTAAATTTTACCATCCATTGTAGTAAAAAAACCCAGGCAAAAGTAAAAAAAATAACTCAATAAAGGAGCCAAAATGGGCATAGATGAACTGACCTGAATAGAAAGATCGAGCATCAAGCCCTGAATACTGCTAAAGAGAGATTCTTTTGGATATCTTCAGACCTGGAGTTCCATACATAGGGACCCTGAACCAAGAAGAGTCTGACTCCAGGTTGGTTTAGATGGGACCTCAGGATGAATATTAAGGAAAACCCATTCCCTCTGAGCTATCTTTGAGGACTATTGGGTGAGAGGTGGTCACTCAAGTAGCATGGGTCATGATTGCAGCAAGGGACTGGGAGTCTAGAAGATCTGAGTCCTATTACTGGCTCTTCTACAAACTTATTCTGTGACCTTGGGCAAGTCACTTAACTTCTCTGTCTGTTTCCCTATGAGTAAAATGTAGATAATATTTTATCTCATAGTAATGATGTGAGGATTGATTCATTAATGTCTGTAAAGCGTTTTAAGATCTTCTGATGGAAGGTACTATAGTTGTACAAAATATTAGGTACACCTCTACCCCCGATATAACGCGACCCGATATAACACAAATTTGTATATAACGGGGTAAAGCAGTGCTCTGGAGGATCAAAGCAAGTTCAATATAATGTGGTTTCACCTATAACGTGGTAAGATTTTTTGGCTCCCGAGGACAGCGTTATATCGGGGTAGAGGTGTACTTTGGGCCTGGATTATTAAGGCTCCAATTGTGAACCCCTTATTCCCACTTGTAAGCAGGTGCTCTCACAAATAGTTCAGTGTTGCCAATTCTCATAATTTTATCATGAGTCTCGTGATATTTGGTGTTTTTCTTCAAGCCCCAGCTCCTGGAGTCAGGTGTTTCACGAGAATCTCAGTGTTCATTTAAAAGACCAGTTAGCTTCTAGCTTTCATGATTGCAGAGAAAAACTCAAAGATGACTTGAGTGCACCTCAAGGGCTCAAAAGATAGAAGGCAAGTTAAATGTATTATGACATGCAAACTATGTTTTTTTTTTAATTGCCTGATTTGTAAGCCAGTCTCATGTGTTTTGGAGGCCTGAGTCGTGAATTTGAGATGCTTGAGGTTGGCAATATTAATAGCCCCAGTGAAGTCAATGGGCCTATTCATGTGAGTGACTGCTTACCAATGGGAGTAAAGTATTCAGAATCTGGCCCTGGGGGATTTACATATTCTCAATAACTCCTTGAATTGAATTTCAGAGTAACTTTTTATATCATTCTAATAGTGTGCGTAAAAATGAGCTGTGAATAGATAGAATTAATATCTCTCTAAACTGAATTTTATATGTTATGTATCTAAACTTCAGTTTAACAGTACAATTATTTATTAGCAGCAGCATAATCTTTGGTTATGTAGCTAATTAAAATAATTTTGATCTTTCTGCCCTTAGTAGTTGTTTATACTTGTGATGAGTAATTTGAGTTGCATTCATTTCTTTCCTTTTCAAAATCTTAAAGCTTGAATTTGGTGTAATTTACCACTGCACTGAAGAACGATTATACACTGGTAGAAGAGGTCAAGGGGCATTTTGTAATGAAAAAAGGCTTCAGGTATCAAAAGAGACAGGTTGGTCTAGATTTTTGTTAGAACTCTAAAAGAAATATGTTGAATTTCAGAGTTGATGCTAATCCTAAATGGAAATTATTATCCTGATTTAAAGTATCTTTCCTGCATTATAACTGTGTCTTTCCTGGAAACATAAGGATGTTCCCAAATTTCTGTTTAAAATATACAGCTTTATGTGAATTAGTATTAAATGGTCCTAAAATATTTTGCAATTCCCAGACGAATTGATCAGTATTGATCCAAAACCACTCCTTTAAGATAAAGAAATAGGATGAAATTCACCACTATACCATGCCTTCTGTACACTGGTGTAACTCCGGGATACAAAGTGCAGCTGGAATGATGAATCAGGCCGACGTTATTATGGCATTTGTCATTCACTTATTTTCAGATGACTTAATGTGCCATATACTGCATCTTGTTTGTAAACATATATGCCAGTAGTAAATCGAATTAATGGATGCATACATTATACTACTTTAAAAACAAATGCTGTGATGTGTGTGAGAGGTCTGTTTAATCATACAGTTAGTTAGAACACTTAGTCCATACTGTATTGGGATTTATTACTATAAACCTAATAAAGTGATTCTGCATTTGCCTAGTTATAATAGTTAAGTTCAATCAAATGCACATAACAACAAGAAGCTTTCTTTTAACAAATCCAATGCAGAAGATAAAGCAGCATAATTAGCAGACAGAAGCAAGCAGATGTTACATAGCTGTATCTTTGTACCCCAGAAATGATAAAATTACAGTAGAAAAATGGTTTGGTGCAGACTGAAATCATAGTAAATTAAAGCAATTTAATGTACAGATTAGATATGGGTCCAGACCAACCCTGGATGACGAGAACTTCCCTGATAGTTGGAAAAATTTGGATCCAGATCCAGACTTTGTGGCTTGGACCAGTCTTTAGTGGGCCAGGTTTATTTATCTGGAGAAAGAGCATACAAATGGTACACTTCTCCCCCACAGGAGCAGCTGTGCCTGAGGGAGGACATTTACCCAGAATAGGTGTCCATTGTCCTACCCTAGCCACCCTTCCAAAGGTGTTCTGTCAGGGGAGGGAAGTTTTAAAATACAGCCCATGTTCCACAAGAATCCTCTTGGCAGAGTATGCCTGGGAGGCTTATGGAATCAAGGCATCTCCCAACTGCCCTAAATCCTTCATAAACTGGCCCCATTCACTTTTATGTCTAAATGGTCCTGGGCCTTCAGCTGAGCAAGGGCTGTGGGAGACAGCACCACTTTGTCCCAATTCCCTGTGGACTTTCTGCTAATGTGGGAGTCCAGAACATAAGTGGAGGGTCAGATCCCATATTGTTTAAGATGCTTTATAATTTTTTCTCTTTTGAGATGTACTCATTTGTGTGGGGTATTTTGAACAGGGAAGATGGAGAATATTTTTATTGATTTTTATGGTGTTTAAAAGTAGCCCATTTATGGTTGTTCTTGTCTAATAAGGATTTTGACTTCAATAGAATGAATCACCTCTGGAGTACAAGATGTTTCTCCTCATGCTGGCATCTGGAATTTGTGACTTTTAGACTTATATGTTACCTCATGCTTTTGTTTCAGGAAATGTATTTTGTATAGAAAATGTTGATATACAATATAAAATTAGATTAATGCTAGATATGTTCAGCATTTAACAATTCAGAACTAAAGAAAATCACATTGTGGTGATGACAGAATTTTGCAAAGGTTATGTCACAGTAAGAAAACAGAGCTGTGGTCTGGGATATCCACCACGCACAGATTTAAATAATCGTAATGAAGGAACATCCCAAAGATATAAAATTCCCTTTGACAAACGTTGTCACAGTTTAAAGCCAGGCCTGGCCTTAAGTGTGTTGATACCATAAATGGCGTGAGGGGTTTTTTTTGGTCTCCACTCTGCCCCCTTCAGTAGTCAAAAATGTTGGTCCCTTGTCTCTTTTCCTCCCACATTTACCCAGGTCACTGTCACCTCTCTTCTACCAACCCTCCCTGTTTCTCTTCCCCTCATCAGGGTGGAGAACTTGTCTTCTGGTCAGCTGTCTCCTGTAGTTTGAATTCCTGAAGCCACCTTGTTTCTTTTCAATAGATGGTCTCTTCCCTAAGTTCAATTCCTCCTTAAGCCCAAACCCTCCTTAAAGCATTTCAGTCTTTAAATCCAATTCCTAAATTAGCATAACTTTGACTAAGTATTAGGAAGTGTTTGTTTATTCATCAGGAATCTAATACCCATTGAACTCTATGTGAATCTTTCCTTTGGCTTTAAGAGTCCTTGGCTTTGATTAGGCCCCTATACTGCTGTAAATCAGAAGTTACTGAATTGAACACAATACAAAAGGAAAAACTAATGCCGCAAAAATTAGTTCAGAATTAGACCTACTGACTTTTTTATATAGAATAGCTGGTAAATATATTGATACTTGCACGTTTGTAACTTCTGTAGTCTTTCCAATGTCTAAACGTAAAAGGGGGTAGTTTTTGCAAGATAAATGGAGTTTTTGGTGGATATTTTTAATTGATCTTTACTTATCATACACCTAGCTTTGTCTAATTAAAATGAATGGTATAATCCAAGAGATCAAAGTTCCCTGTTCAGGAAGCATTCTGTTTTAAAATACAATTAATTTACAGTGGAATGCATAGATCCTATGTCAATTATTTTTAGCTGATTGCTAAAAGTTTGTGAGGTCACCAAAGGTTGACTGGTCAATGAAGGAAAAATTCCATGGGAACAAAGGAAACTCATAGAAACCAGTTTTGTTCTTATTCTTCCTTCCCTTCTTTTACCAAACAAGTATTTTTAGATAACCCAACTGTATGAGCAATTTAGTCTTGTTACAGTCATTTAGACAAAAGCAGTTTCTCATCCTGAGAAAGAATATGAAAAGAAGAACAATTTTTGTGTGCATGAGAGAAATGGTTTTGCTGTGAAAAGCCCCTTCATATTTAATGTGAAGAAATTGCCTAGACCTACTTTGAAAGGTTGTTGAGTTAATAGAAACAACTGTCTACATTGCAGATAAGTCGAAGGCCTTGATCTTAACAGAAATTGGTCCAAAACGTGACCCTGAGACTTTGAAATTGTTCCTCGGTAACATGGAGAGCTTACTCAAAGCCCAAGTACATGGGTAAGGTTTTTAAGAAAAAAATTTATTATGTTAAAAATCATCAACATTCTCAACTTTCTGAAATTCCAAGCAGAATGTTATTCTACTTAAATCAAATGTGATGCATATTGTACCCTGTTGAAATAAAAGCAGTTTTCCCCCTTTCATTCTTTTATACCTCTCTGCTTCTAGGATCCGTGTAATCGGAAGTTCTACCTTGGCTCTGTGCCATCTAGCATCGGGTGCTGCAGATGCATATTACCAGTTTGGTTTACATTGCTGGGACTTGGCAGCAGCTACTGTCATTATTAGAGAGGCAGGTGGTATTGTGATAGATACTTCAGGTGAGTAAAGTATGCTGTTTTGGAGCAGGGACTGTGTCTTCATGTTTGGAAAGCACATAATAGGCACTACTACAATCTAAATAATTGTCACACTCAATTTTTTTCAATCACCTTTCATAGTCTCTGAGGGGTGAGGCAGATAAATGTTCAGATGTTTAGCTTTTCTAGTTTGGGCTGCATTCTTTTTTACTTCCCCATCTCTGTCTAATCTATCTGTGTACTCATTGCAATACTATCTGAATATCTCCAAACTATTTGAAAAATAAATAATTATAATCTTTCTCTTCCTTCCCCACTGGTAGGAGAAAAGGCTTGTTTTGTATATGGGTGAGAAGGGAAAGAGTTTTGTGTGTGTGTGTATATGTCAGAAGAAACTGAGGGAAAACTAAGATGAATAATTGGGTTTTGCATTTAGTTCTAAAAGTGGAGGATCAATACAGTCTGGGGCTGATAGGATGGGGCATGATTTTCTGGCCAGCTGAAGGTAGAGGGTGGTGGTTTTTCCCTACCAGCACTATAAGAGCTGCGAGGCCGAGGATCAACATAAAAATATGAGTGGATATTCTTGAAAGTGGGGGTGTTATAAAGAAAACTAGTTCTACAGAGCAGTTCTGTCTTCCTACCAGCATCACCCAAGTCTTTCTGGGTTCAGTTTTTGCTATCTGATCTTCATCCAGAAGGTAATTTCAGTTAGGTATTCAGAATGTTGGTAGATAGTGCTCTTTATACTTGGTGTAAAGGAACTGTGGAGTTGGGTGTTGCCTGCATTTCAGTCTGTGTTATCTTGCCAGTGCTCCCAGTGTTTACTCATAGATGCTGAATAATATGGGAGAGGAACTGAGTTTAGGTTTACAGGTGAGGGATTAGGAGGTAGAGGAACAGTTACCCATAGTGATCCTCTGGCTTTGTTCTGAGAGGAGGGATCTAAGCCAATTCAAAGTGGTTTTGTTCATTCCTTCAGCTCTTAGAGGCAAGACAGGTGTATTTATCAGTATCAAATGTCTCAGACAAGTCCAGTAGAATGGGTATGGACCGGAGAAGGTAATCCACCAGAACAACAAATGCTGTCTCAGTATTATACTCCCTGCCCTCACGCCTCACTTAGAGGGATCCATGATTCTGCCAGATAACAAGTGGAGTTGGAGATGCCTTTTTGCCAGCTCTCTGTTAGTCTGCTTGGAAAAGAAAGCTTAGATGCTGAGCAGTAGCTTCCAAGTCCTCTGGAATTGCGGGATAGTTTTTAAATTCTGGTTGGACTATTGTATGTTTGGGAATGGATGGTAGAGTCCCTTCAAAAGGAGATGTTAACAGCCTGTTGCCAGGATTCCTTCCTGGTGGTCTCTTTTCTTTACCAGCCAGGAATGGCAGGGGAAAGTAGTCATGGGTGGGAGGGGGACGGCCCTGATTGTGGTTGTGTCAGTCTACTATAATTACTACTGGCATGAATAGGCAGAATTCTTGGGAAGAGGACTCTGTGTTTCTAGATCTGATCTGAGCTTCTTGTTCTTGATGGCCTCTGAGGGTGTTCTGCTCAACTGTGATGTAATTCCCGTGCAGGGGGAGGGGCTGTGTTCTGGGATTGGGTGGAGACATATGGGTATATGTAGGGATTTACAATCTAGAAAAATTCTGCAAAGTGTGACTTTCCTATCTCTGTGGTAGAGGAGAGCAGAGGTAAACTCTTTGCCTCCCTTAAAGAAGGATGGGTTTACAGAAATACTTTGCTCCATAGTCTCCCTGTATTTTCTGCCACCAACACTCAAATTTTCTTCCTTCCTGCATTTTCTGCCATAGGTTTGCTGAGAACCTTGGCAATCTATGTGGGCAGTGGGATGAGAGAGGGCCCTTTGGTGCTAGAATGTCTCTAACAGTAATCCGTGTGTGATTGTAGTGCCTTGCTGATTCTTCTATCCCTTTGCCTCTTGGCTGCATAGTTTTCTACGAGTAAATTTTGAGTTTGGCTCAGGCCAAGGTTATTTTGGGGTGCACCATGCTGGTGCTTCTACTTGCTTTGCACTGGGAGAGCTTTAATTTCCCCTGCTGCTGTTACAATTACAGCACCTGGTAAGCAATAGGGTGAGAAGCTGTCTGATCCAAAGGCACTACCAATGCAACTTCAATAAGTCAGTCATTAGAGAGACATTCTAATAGAAATGCAGCTAACAAACTCTTGTTTCCTATATCAGGATATTGCTTCCATGGACATTTTAAACCTCCCTGCCGTCCCCCCCCGATGGAAGTAGTCCTCAGATGGTTCTTCCCATTCCCAGTTGTCCTTTCCAGGATGTAGTAGTCTCGGCCGAGGTTCGGCCCTCAGCGGGGCTGTGGAGTATCCCACCGCCTCGCTCTGGTCCGCCGTCCGTCCTGGTCCACCGGTAGTGTGGGACAGCAAACTCACGGTTAGGGGCTCAGGCCCTTAAGCAGGGGCTGAGCCAATAGGTCAGAAAAAAGCCCCGGACCCTCAATCAGAGCGGGGCAGCAACCACACAGTCTGGAGCTCAGACCCTCACGCAGGGGCTGAGCCAATAGTTCGGGAATCCAGGCCCTTAAGCAGGGGCTGAGTAAATGGGTTGTAGTAGCCCAGGCCCTAGGTCAGGGTGGGCAGCAATCAAATAGTCAGTTAGGAACCCAGGCTCTTAAGCAGGGGCTGGGTCAGTGAGCAACAGGTCCCAGCCTCTCTAGGCCAGGGAAAAGGGGGAGTCTGCCACCCAAGGAGTGGGTGGCAGGGGGGACGCAGGTCCTCCCACTCCACTGCGTCCCAGCCCGGGGCCGAACAGCGGCGGAAACTCGCTGCTGTCAGTGGGGATCCTGGCCGCAACACACTGACATCGGCTCTGGCAGTGCTGCAGCCAGGCTGGGGTCGGCTGCCCCTGGCTACTTCCACACTCCCCCTCGTAGGGTACCTGGGCCGGACTAATGTCCTCAGGGCTCTCCACCAGCATTGGTTCCTCTGGGTAGGTAGCGAAGGGTAAGCTCAGCTCCTCCTCAGGATAGCAGGAAAGGGGCAGGCTCAGCCCCTCCTCGGGATAGCAGGAAAGGGGCAGGCTCAGCTCCTCCTCAGGGTAGCAGGAACGGGGCAGGCTTGGCCAGTCCTCCTCAGGGTACTGGGTGAGGGGTAGGCTCGGTAGGCCTGGTGAGTCGGCAGGCCGGTCGCAGCCTGCGGCTGTCTCCCAAGCGGGAGCTCGGCCACAGACGTCTGCTCTCTCCGCCGGCTTGTCCTCCATTGAGCTCTGCGAGCGGGCTTTTATACTTCCGGGTCGGCGCCCTGACCTCTGAGGGGCGGGTGCCGGACTCGGTGGCTCCGCCCACGTTGGTATTAGGGGAGGTTCGGCCCTCAGCGGGGCTGTGGGGTATCCCACCGCCTCGCTACATAGGAGTACAGTTTTCCCACAATTTTGAGTGACTTTTTTTTAACATTGTCCCTAGGTGGCTATTTATGGGCTGCTTTTATAGCCGCAATCTTTGTATTCTTTTCTCTTTCCGTCACACCCCCATACAGGTCCTTTGCTTATAGTGATAATCCAGTGAAACATCTCAGGTCTGGCCCACTCTGCCCTGGGCTCTGGCTGGCTAATTTCATCACAATTTTGCATTTCCAGTCTAGGGCTTTTCTGGGTTAGAGATGCTGAGGATGAATGTCTGTGTCTTTGAGTAAGCCCTTTAAACTGTTACATTTGAAGTATACAGCTGGGCCCAGCAGAGATTACTGGATATGCTGAGACTCCTAAACAGATTTCAGCAAAGATGAAGGCTTCTTGGGAAGAAAGGGCTGTCAGGGAGACACAAGAGTGCTCATCTGAATATTTATATTTGTACAGCACCTTGAAGATGTAAAGACCCAAAATGTTAAGGATTATTATTTTATTAATTTCTAGAGCATACATCCCCCAAGTAGAGTGCTCTTTAGTAGTTAAGCCCAGTCGTGATCAAAGTGTGCATGACTGTGGAAAGACTTGATGTATTAAAGAACAGTTGCCAGTTGTAGGGTATGTTTAACCCTGAAAATGGGTTATGCTGGTTCCTATTTTATTCCTTACTACCCCTAGTTTTGCAAACAAAACATCTGGTGTTTTGTTTAAGAGAGTAAAATGGAATATATTGTATTTATTTTTGTGTACTGAACAAATAAAAACATTCATTGCTTTTGCTGTGTACTTTGGTGTTTGATAAGTCTGTGGTTTCTAGAACACTTTGCTTTGCAAGACATCTCTGAATTTGAAAGCCTCAGCAAGGTATTTCCCCCTCTAAATGTGGCTGAGACATTGTTTCAGTATCTTTGAATCTCTCTGTCTACAACAAGGGTATAATATAATATGCCATACATCACTTCTGTATCTAAACATGGTTCTTCTTTATCCTCTTGTTCTTAGGGGGACCTCTAGATCTCATGTCATGCCGAGTGATTGCTGCCGGCACTAAAGAGATGGCCATGTTCTTAGCTCAGGAAATACAGACTATTCACTACAGACGGGATGATGAGAACTGAGTGACATTAAATACATTTACAAGTAACATGGAGTTTGTCCTTCTAAGCTACTTAACTTCTTCCAAGATGGGTGTCTTAGTGGGTACATGATTTTAACAACATGCTTTCTGTGCAGGTCTTCTGTGTCAAATGTTTTAAACAATGTTATTACAATGTGGCTTCCCAACATTGTGGGGTGGGGGGAGGGAAATTTTTAAAACCTCTAAGATTTGTGGCTTCTTTTAATATGCATCTATTTCAGCAGCACCTTTTTTATATGATCACCTGTAGCGCTTGTTGCCAGATTCAAAGTTTCACATCTGTTCAGGCTGAAACTGAGTCTTTTGTAACATATGCAACTAAAAAGAAAACTTTATTTTTACAAAACACAGATCTCAGGTAAATGAGCTTTAGGATTGTAGTAGATGATAAGTAGTTAAAATGTGTGCCTACCGTACCCATATTCAACAGTACTTGAGAATGCAATAAAAAGTGTTATTACTCCATTTCTCTTTTCTAACTATATCATGGCCATATATATGTATATTTTGGATGTTTACAGTGATTTACAAAGTGTACAGAAGAAGGTGATTTTAGGTATTTGTTTCAAGGAAGTGTATATATTACCTTTATGAATGCAGTGGGAGTTACCTATATAGTTAATAACAGAGCTGCTAAAAAAAATGGAAAATATTTCATGATTTTTTTTTCAAATTGTCCAACCAACTCTAGCTTATAGAGAATGTTAACCAATTGGGGCCAAATCTTACAGTCCTTATTGAACCCTTACTGGGCGCTCAAACCTGCAAGCATTTACTACCATGGAGTAGCTGTGACTAGTGGGCAGAGTGCTTACTACCATGAGTACTGATGTCTATGGGGACTATTCACAATCGTAAATACTATACATGGTAGTTAATTCTGGAAAATAGGGCCCTATGTCAAGGAACTATTGACTTCAATGGAAGTTTCACCCAAGAAGAAACTGCAGAATTTGGTCTTTAGAGGTAAATTGTAAAAATGGGCACCTTAGTTGTGCTTGCAAAAGGATAATTGTAAACATAAAGTATTCATTTTGCACGTACAATTGTAGTCACCTTCAGAATATATGGAAACCCTGTAAAGTAAATGACTAATTCTAACAACACAAAAATTCTGTGCAACTCTAGTTTTGTGTTTGGCACTTTTTTTAAAATCAAGTTGATACTATCTGTTTTTTTAAAAGAAATCATATCATCTGACACTACTGAACTTCTTAAATGTTAGTGTCCAGAAAAGAATCTGATTTTAAACATGGGGATTTACCTCTAGTTTTTCTATTGATGTTGAGAATTCAAATCTACAATTATTTTTTAATAATACAAAGAAACAAAAAGGCCCCCAAAATACATATAGGTCTAAATTTTCAAAATCAGTTCCTAAATTGCACATGCAGACTGTGTAAATGTGCATGTAAACTGCAATGAGAAACTGGAAATTGAGTATACAGTTATCCATTTTGCATGCACAACTAAAGAACACATTGTTAAAAACATTAGCCGTTGTACATGCCTCTTAATTTTCTTCTGTGAAAAATGTTTTTCATTACAAGTATAACTCGTATACTGTATTTTTTAAAAGGAGAAATGCAAAATGCTGGCTGTGGAGAGAATGGCTAAAATATAGGGCCCTGATTTAGCAAAGCATTTAAGCACATGCTTAAGTCTCATTGGCCCTGATTCTCCTCTCCATCAAAGCACACCTCAGAGGCAGAGGACAATGACAGATGCAGGAAGCTGGCTGAAATTCCCTGATCTCTGGCCACTTAGCCAGGGCAGAAGACAGAGTAGGCCCCCTGCTGCTCTAAGCTTCTGCCACTTATTGATGTAAGTTCTGTAAATAGATCTTATACCTGCAGAGAATCAGGTGTAGTGGCGTTCAGCTCCACCATTCCCCCTCTCAGTCCACCAGCCTATCCCTTCTTTTCCTTATGCCAGAGAGAGAGCTGATTTAGGAGGTGTCTATACCACCTCTACCAGCTTTACATCAGTAGAGATTCCTTGTACTCAGGAAGACTCTCTGGCAGGTTTAAATTCACTCTGCACCACTTACATGGTGCACTTAATGGATGAAAGAATCCTGCCCACTGATTTTCATGGCATTTGAGCACACTTAAATGCTTTGCTGAACTGGGGCCTCAGTGAGGTGGGGAGGGGAATGTCCAGAAATCCAGTCTCGGATTCACCTGTTACTGTCATGGATAAAACATTATTTTTTAAAAATAAATAGAGGGCTTCTGAGAGTTGATGAGCACCTCAGATTCCTACTGATGTTAGTGGAGTTACAGCTGATCAGTAGCTTCAGAAGGCCCAGAGTTTGCAGTGCCATTGGCCACGGTGATTCCCACATTTTATTTAGAATTATTAATTAGCTGACAGTTCTTAGAGGTAAATCCTGTATTAGATTTTGACCTTCCCGTCCATCTTTCCTTGCTAGCTAAAGCTCTCTTTTTTAGGCATATTCCTTACTGTATACTTTCCATTCTAAGGTTTAAATCAGGGGTTCTCAAACTGGGGGGTGGGACCCCACAGGGGGTTGCGAGGTAATTACATGGGGGGTCAAGAGCTGTGAGCCTCCAACCCAAACCCTGCTTTGCCTCCAGCATTTATAATGGTGTGAAATATATATAAAAGTGTTTTTAATTTATAAGGGGGGGGTCGCACTCAGGGGCTTGCTATGTGAAAGGGGTCACCAGTGCAAAAGTTTGAGAACCACTGGTTTAAATTAATACTGTGTGTATAATATGGGAGCCAAATCTTTACATTTTTAATTAGGGTTCTTTTTTTCTTAAATAAGATAAGGTTGGTAACTACTCTTTAATCAGCAGTTATAAAATTAATATTTTTAACACAGTAAGTTGTGAAAGGCTACAATCCATTTCACATGCTTTGGGTTGTTTTTAAAAAACGTTTCAGGCTTTAGATTATTTTGGAGGCCAGTTTCTGAAAGCAGAGGCAGTATTTAAATATGAACAAAGATTAGAAGTTATAAATGTTGAGAACAAGTTTTTCCTATCCTGAATGTCATAACCTGTGCTGGCATTTTTTCCATGTTAGTATCCTAGTGAATGTTGGTGGAGATTGCAGAAGAGAGTAAGGAGAAGCCACGGGCATCTCTGATACACCAAAGGATACTTTTTGTGGCCTCATACTCTTGTGTCCCTAGTGTATTCAGGATGAAAAATAGTTTGTTTTACAAACACATAATCTAATCATCTTAATTACAGGACAGTAATTTGTAAATTTACTTTAAAATGTACTTTTAGGGGTTGAAGATGCTTGTTTCATTTCCACCCAGAAAATTATATAAATGTATTCAGCTTTTTTTCGAGTTGTCAGAATGTGGCAGCAGTTGGATCTATGCAGGCAGATCCTGCATCTTTGCAGAGCCTTATTGAAATCATCGGTTTGCCTGCATGAATCAGGCCTAAGTGTTTATCCAGCTGTTGAAAATTTTTTCAAAAATGCTTGTTTTGTGCTTGGATAACTCAAAAAAAAAGTTTTAAATCTCTAGTCTTTATAGAATTTAATCTGAAAGGGAAACTAGTGCCTTTGCTATATAGAAATAATTTGGTTTTGAAAAAACAAAATTATGGGCATTTTAAAACAGCATATGGCATGTGCATAGCACACTCAGTTCTATCTGTAGAAACATAAAGGAAGCTAGCACATGTCAAACGTCTGCAATTATGAATATCTTAGACCACGCGTGTGTAACTGGATGACCAAAATGGGTGAAGATATCTTTATTTACACTGCAAGTGTGTACATGCTCTGAATAGATAGTATCTTTTATTCAAGAGACTGCTGCTCAGCATCCTATTCCTTGACTTTTCAGTCTGTCACCTGCACAATGGTTTAGAACATTTTAAATCTACTGTTTTGGTATAATAATCTGAAATAATAATGTAGAACTCATGTATGAGTGCATTCTGGTATGAACAAACAAACTATGGGAGTAACAGTAAACTCCAGATAAAGTAAAGTCTTCCATTACATGATCACACAGCATAGGGAAATGTGATACACTGTTCACCAAATACTAAGTAACATAGAAAGGAACTCCATCTTTGTCTATAACATGTAGCACATATAACAATAGCACTATGTATTTCTGTCATGTGGCATACTTCAGTGCATGCCCTAATGTACAGCTTTTACACATCCCCGGGTTTTGGTCTGTAACAAGTTACAAACACCACAGTTTGCATGCACCAGTAATGTCAAGACTCTAATACACTACACCCTATTGAATTGGTTACATATTTTAAATTGTCTATTGCCGTTGTTCTTATAAGGAGGTGGGGCAGAAAAGCAAATAAATGCTCAAGTTTTCAATAATATATCCCTTAAAATCATCCCATCCCAGTCCACTGCAGTCAAGAAATTGCACCTGTTTACAACAGAGCATTTAGCCCTAGAAATACTACCGAGGTAAAACATTCATGGTGCTACATAGGGAGTGTCTCTTATTGCTCAACAATGACTTCAGATTTAGAGTGTGCAGTGCCCAGTTGACTGTCCACTTCTTAGGAGAGGCCACTGACAGTTGATAAGATCAAGATCATCATTAACAGAAACATATATCAGCAGCAGTTACAAAAATATTGTTCACTTATTTTCCTACACTCTGTCAGTGTTGTATATATGGGGTAATATAAACCCAGTTAGTAACTCTCTGTTTGAAATTATTTTTAAATGTTTTTGTAACAATCTATTTTTCAATGAGAAAAGGATTATAATCTGCATTAAACATATGGTAGACAGAAATTGAGAGACGGAGTCTGTATTTCTCTGCTTTATGAACTCTACGTGCAAAAACATGGAAATCTAGACATACACAAGGTTAAGTGCTTATGGGTTTGGTGTGGGTTGTTTGTTTGTGAATGGCTGTACTGGCAGCCAGATTCAAAGAAGGGGATTAGTTATTGGAAAGAAGATAGCACACAGGCTAGGATAAAAATTTATAAGGGCTGTAGACAGATCCTCATGCTTCAAGGTACAAGATGATGACCATTCTAAATGCTAAAAAGTCAGAATAAAAAAATACATAGTATTGAACTGCACGGAGTGAATTTAGGGGGAAGAGTTTACACTTTCCTCCTCTAAAACCTCAAGTATTGTCCTCCGTCATAGACAAAATATCACAGTATCTGGACCACTGGTGTGTTCTTATTTGAGTGAGGAAAACATTGAATTGTGTATCTCTCTCTGAATAGCATTTGAACCCTGGTGCTTCCAACAGTACAGACAAAAGCCATAACCGTACCATTGTCTCTTCTAAATAATCAAAGGTGTTAATAAACCCCCAATCGCTGAGGGTAAAATTTTCAAAAGTGCCTTAAGACTCAGGAGTCTAGTCCCATTGACTTTCAATAGGACGTAGGCACTTTTGAACATTTTACCCTGAGTGTTTATCTATCTCTTGGCACCTTAGAGACTAACAAATTTATTAGAGCATAAGCTTTCGTGGGCTACAGCCCACTTCCTCGGATGCATATAGAATGGAACATATATTGAGGAGATATATATACATACATACAGTAAGTGAAAAAAAACTTTTGAAGTGATAATTGGATAATTGAAGATACTTAATTGGCCTCTCAGAGTTGGTAAGACAACTCCCACCTGTTCATGCTCTCTGTATGTGTGTATATATATCTCCTCAATATATGTTCCATTCTATATGCATCCGAAGAAGTGGGCTGTAGCCCACGGAAGCTTATGCTCTAACAAATTTGTTAGTCTCTAAGGTGCCACAAGTACTCCTGTTCTTCTTTTTGCGGATACAGACTAACACGGCTGCTACTCTGAAACCTATCTATCTCTTGTTTGTTTAACACAAAAAAAATGCATCAGAAAGTGAGCAAGGTTTGACAGAGAATAAAACAAAGCATAATTTCAAGGATTGATTCTGTAGCGAGCACTGACCCAAAGATCTAAAGAAATCTGTTTCACTCATACATCAACATCTTTTACTATTACAGAATTCAGGACACATCAGTTATCCTCTGATAGTAAAAAGGTGGGGAGGAGGGGAAGTAATCAGTATTGTGTATTGGCCTCTAGCCCTCCATCTCTATAATTTCCAACAATGTGGTGGTATATTAATTCTGTGCCTCTTAATCTTATGTGCTTTTAAAATAATATTAAAGCTTTGTATATCCCTGTGTTCCCCATCATTTAACCATTGATAATGCTAATATATTCCTTACTGCCTGAAATACCAACACTGCTCTGGCATGTCAGAAATCCCATTTCTGGAACTCTGCATCTCCTTGAATTACTTCCTGAAGTCAGGACACTTTGAACAGTTTAAAATCATTTTTCAAAGAACTAAAGTTCAATCAGAAGATCATGTGTCCCTTTTATTTTTAAGCAATGTAGTGAAGAGGTACCATCCTACCTCTCTGTCAAATGTAACAAAATGGATCTTGGATATATCCCTTTCTTTTTTCCACATATTATATATATGTATATATGCATTGTGTGTGTGAGAGAGAGAGAGAGAGAGAGAGGATATGTGAAGTCTGTTGTTGCTACATGAAATGAGACAGTGGTCTTTCTAAGTACTATAGTATCAATGGTCACTTATAAATCATTAATTTGGAAGACATAATATGAACACTTACATGCTAATTTTTTAATTAATTCAGGTATGATTTGAATGCTATCAAGAACAAACTGGTGATAGAAATATCAAATTCAATCACTTTTGTTTGTCCATTGGAATAAGTAACACATTGTTCTCCTATAATACAGCTATTCTGTAGTGCCTAGTGTTGCTCATGTTACTTCCTTGTTAAGCAGTATCAACAGATTATGCAGGAGTGCCTCCGTTTAGAAACCATGGTCCAAACTCACCCCTGGTATAAGTGGACCCAACTCCACTGATGTCAATGGAGTTGAGCCCCCAGCAGTAAATTTAACCCTAACTCTCCAAAGCCATAAAAATAAGAAATAAACTTAAAGGCTATTGATTTTTAGCTAGCAGACAGTATTGTACATAAATACTTACATTTCCTTTGTCCAGTACAAATAATGGGCAGGCTCTTGGGAGGTGCTGAACGCTCCTAAATGCTTGTTTCAGGTGCTCAACACTTTTCAGGATCATTCCCAAAGCTCAGACAGTTGATGTGTTAACAAGTTCCTTTGTTATGTGTTTAATAAATATAACAATGAAATTGTTTTCTAATATTTTTATGATAGTTTGGAAACATAGGCCCAGATCCCCAAGGACATTTAATGGAAGCTAGAAGCTTAAATATCTTTGTGGATTTGAGCCCTATTGCCTGAGTCTCTCCTGCCTTGCAACTAGTGTAATCATGGACACTTATGCAAAGTGGATGAAAAATGCTATTAGATTAGGCAGTATTTTGCACCCACTTTGCATGGACAGAATAATTACAAGAAGTGCAAATGCACTCTAATTACAAATATTTTGGAAATTACCACACTTTGCTGCAGATTATTTGATCTGCATTGTATTCCTGTACTGCTTAATCTATTTATAAGCGTTTGGGGGGGGGAGAATGAGGAGTAAATCATGGAAGCCAACAAAAAAATTAATCATCATAAAAGGCCGGATAACATATTTACCACTATAAACACATCCATATTTTAACATAATTTTAGCTGCTCTCTTGTTACATTCTCACTACCAAAAAGATATTTTATAGACTATAGCCATATGTGGATTGCTCTTACTGTTCTTAGTTTTGACTGAAGACATCTTCATAAATATAACAGTGCTCATCTTTTCACTTTGTAGTTATGAAAAAAGAAGAACAGGAGTACTTGTGGCACCTTAGAGACTAACAAATTTATTAGAGCATAAGCTTTCGTGGACTACAGCCCACTTCTTCGGATGCATATAGAATGGAACATATATTGAGGAGATA